TTGGGGGATGGTGGCGGATATGACCTCTCCCATGTGACAGTCAGACCTGAGCGGCCAATCACAAAGTTCAAACACTGTTACATGGGGAGGTGATGCCATCCAATCAGGTAAGTTCTGACATAGGTGCTTACCCACAACAGACTCTTGCAGCGGGAAGGTGATAAAGGACCGTGGATGGCTGAGTATACCTTTTTGGGTAGTAGGCTATCAGGAGGCATTGAAAAGACACATAAAATAAGACAGTGATTGTATATCATATATAAAACATGCGTGATCAAAAATAATAACAAAATAATCCAAAATAAACTAAAGTGTCCAAAAGAAACTAAAATGTGCTTGTGCGCTCTTCCCATCAAAATGAAAGTTCATGGATTAAATGGTACAATTCCTTGTGAATCCATTTTCACTGTGCAAATCACCCCGTGCACTTGAATGACTCTCCACCACACACCGCACTCACCAGATGATATGTGACCCCTTGTATACACAAGTAAGTCAATATGCATTTCCCAGCACCTGATGTATTCCAACACTTGCCAAATGGCCTCCACTCTTCCAGGTCCTCTGTGAGGGCAATCCCCCCTTTAAGGTTCCCTTTGCTCCATCAAGGTACTCAGTGGGACAAAGTAGAAGCCAAACCATGGCAAGACAAACAAGGGATCTCTCATAGTGTTTACTATTTATTGATTAAAATAAACATAAAAGCTTTCATATTCACTCACAATTAATCTTATACGACAAGCATGTAATGTTACCAAGCCGGGGAACGCCACTTTGCATTCCAGTGTGTGTTCCATGCGAAGCAGTAATGACTATCACAGCAGTCCGGCATTCATCTCCGTTTAAATGTGCACATGTAAGTGGAGATGAATGCTGGGCTCCCGAGGACATTGCACACTAGCGACGAAACGCGTTGGGTGGGACTTCCGACACATCATTTCCGTTTCGCCTGGAATGGATAGTGGCATTCCATGATTTGGTAACATTATATATTTGCCACATAGGTTTCATTGTGAGTGCATATGGAAGCTTTTACGCTTATTTTAATCAATAAATGGTAAACACTATGAGAGATCCCTTGTTTTGTCTTGCCATGATTCGACTTGTACTATGAATCTCTCTGAGTATCTTGATGGAGTAAAGCAGTGGTCTCCAAACCAAATTCGGCCCTTTGCTTGCTTTTATCTGGCCCTTGGAGCACTACTTCATCCACTGACACCAACAATGGCTCAGACAATTCCCCCCAATGACACCAACAAAGGGGAGCAATTCCCCCCAATGGCAGCAATGATGGGGCACAATTCCTCCCAATGACACCAACGATGGGGCACAGCTCTGCCCAATGGCACCAACAATTGAAACCAACAACACCAAAGATGGGGCAATGTTTGCTCCCAATGATGCTGGGACATTTGCTGCTCCCAATGTTCACAGTCTGGCCCCCGTAAAGTCTGAAGGACAGTAAACTGGCCCCTGGAGTAAAGTGAACCTTAAAGGGGTGGATTACTTTCACAAAGGACCTGCAGGAGTGAAGGCCATTTGACAAGTGTTGGAGCATATCAGGTGCTGGGAAGCCCATATTGACTTGCTTGTGTATACAAGGGGTCACATATGATCTGGAGAGTGTGGTGTGGTGGAGAAGCATGCAAATGCACGGGGTGATTTGTTCAGTGAAGGTGGATTCACAAGGAATTGTATCTTGCCATGGTTCGCCTTGTACTGAGTCCCACTGAGTACCTTGATGGAGTAAAGTGAGTCTTAAAGGGGTGGATTGCCCTCACAGAGGACCTGGAAGAGTGGAGGCCATTTGGCAAGTGTTGGAATACATCGGGTGCTGGGAAATGCATATTGACTTACTTGTGTATACAAGGGGTCACATATCATCTGGTGAGTGCGGTGTGTGGTGGAGAGTCATGCAAGTGCACGGGGTGATTTGCACAGTGAAAATGGATTCACAAGGAATTGTACCATTTAATCCATGAACTTTCATTTTAATGGGAAGAGCACATTTTAGTTTATTTTGGATTATTTTATTACTATTTGGGATCATGCATTTTTTTTTATATGATATGCTAGTGCTGACTTAGTTTATATGTCTTTTCAGCAATCATAGGCTTTGAGTTTGGTTTAAGATAGCTGTCATGTTTAATCACACATATACATGTGTTGACTATGGGTGTTTGCTTTTTTTCAGTCAGCCCTGGCAGACTGATCACACCAAAACCCTCAAACGACACAGTCGTGCCCTGGAGCGACTATTGCGCAAAACCAAATCCCAACAAGCCTTCACCCGCTACAAATCTGCCTTCCACACCTACACCTCCTCCCTCCACGCAGCCAAACAAGCCTACTTCCTGACCCTCATTAAGGCCCTCTCCTCCAATCCTCGCCGACTCTTCTCCACCTTCAACTCTCTGCTCTCTCCACCCCCACCTCCACCCAGCATCTCACTCACCGCCCTTGAGATTGCCAATCACTTCAAAAACAAGATTGACACAATTTGCAAGGACATCGCCGCAACTCACACTCCCTCTCAACCCGTCCCCTCTCACACAGCTACCCCCTCATCTCCCCTCTCCCACGGCCCAACCACTGCTCTGACCTCCACTTCCACACCCCACCCTACATTCCTCATAGTGAAGCCCCCTCAACACTCCGCACCTTTGACCTTACTACCATCGAGGAAGTCTCCAAGGTCCTCTCTGATGCCTGCCTCACCACCTGCCCCCTCGACCCTATCCCCTCACAACTCCTACAACCTCCTTCCCCCTCCATCCTATGCTCCGTCACCCACATCTTTAATCTCTCCCTCTCCTCCGGCACTTTCCCCTCCCCTCTGAAGCATGCACACATCACCCCCACACTTAAAAAGCCCTCCCTGGACCTCAATGACCCAAACAACCTCAGACCCATCTCCCTGCTCCCATTCACATCCAAACTCCTCAAGCGCCTAGTCTACACCGCCTATGCTCTCACCTCAACCACAACAACCTCCTCGATCCCCTACAGTCCGGCTTCCGTCCCCTACACTCCACCGAAACCGCCTTACTCAAACTCTCCAACGACCTGCTAACCGCCAAAGCTAATGGCCACTATTCAGTGCTCCTACTCCTTGACCTCTCTGCGGCCTTCGACACAGTCGACCACCCCCTCCTCCTCAAAAAACTGCACTCCCTCGGCCTCAGAGATTCTGCTCTCTCCTGGCTCTCATCCTACCTGTCACAACGCTCTTTCAGCGTTACCTATAATGCTACCACCTCCCCCTCACGCCCCTTCTCTTCTCCATCTACACCTCCTCCCTTGGCCAATTCATACACTCTCACGGCTTCAACTACCACCTATATGCCGACGACACACAAATCTATCTCTCAACCCCCCACCTCACCCCCTCAGTCTCCGCCCGAATCACACACCTACTAAGCGACATATCAGACTGGATGTTGCTCCACTTCCTTAAACTGAACCTCTCCAAAACCGAGTTTCTTGTCTTCCCCCCAGCCCGGACCCCACCCCCCATTGACTTCTCCATCATGTCCAACAACACCACCATCAAACCCGCCCCCGCAGGCCAGAGTACTTGGTGCCATTCTGGACTCCAACCTATCCTTCCAGCCCCAAGTCCAATCTTTAACAAACTCATGCAGACTCCACCTCCGCAACATCGCCAAAATCCGCACGTTCCTAACCCCAGAAACCACTAAACAGCTCATCCACTCCCTCATCATATCACGACTCGACTACTGCAACTCCCTGCTTACTGGCCTGCCTCGCCGCTGGCTATCCCCGCTTCAGTCGATCCTGAATACGGCTTCCAGACTCATTCACCTTTCCAACCGCTCCGTCTCCGCCACCCCCCTCTGCCAATCCCTCCACTGGCTTCCGATTGCGCAACGGATCAAATTCAAAATCCTAACACTGACGTACAAAGCCGTCCACCATACTGCCCCGAACTACATCACCGACCTAATATCCAAGTACCACCCAACACGCGCACTCCGCTCCTCACAAGACCTCCTTCTCTCTAGTTCCCTGGTCTCCTCCTCCCATGCCCGCCTCCAGGACTTCTCCAGGGTGTCACCCATTCCTCTGGAACTCCCTGCCCCAACCCATCAGATTAACACCTCCTCTCCTCTCCTTTAGGCGCACCCTGAAAACCCATCTCTTCAGGGAAGCCTACCCCACCCCCTGATAACTTGCCGACCTCCTCCACTCTGCCTACCACTCCACCCCCCACAGCTTTCTCCTCCTGTGCCACCATCCCCTCCCTCCTAGATTGTAAGCGCGAAAGAGCAGGGCCCTCAATCCCCTCATGTTTTGCATTGTATTGGTATTGTTCTGTCACATGTTCTGTCCCCCTTTGTAATGTACAGCGCTGAGCGAACTATTGGCACTTTATAAATACTGTATAATAATAATAATTATAATATCAGGAGGCATTGTCACTTTACAATTTAGGTCTCTCCCCTCCAGATTGATCAAAATATATATCTTGCTTCACATAACCATACACAGCTGTACTGCCTTGTAACTCTGCAACAACTATGGATAAAGCTATTATGTTTAATGTAAAAAAAAAATGTAACTTGTGTAGGATTGTATCTTGATTCTGAGTACTGGCATCACGGATCTCCTAAACCAGCCTCAGCAACCACATCCAAAGTACAAACCCCCCCATTTTACCTCTGTCCACTGTTCCCTTCCTTCCCCATCCAATGCATTCTACCTATCGCTCTTAAGTTAAACTGCAGACTTCCCTTTTGGCATATATTTTTTAAAGAATGGAAATATCATTATAAGACTCTTCCTTACTTGCCGCAGATTTTACAGGGGAACACAGACGTGGTGTCGGTTTCTCCGCTGGTGGTGCTGTGTGCGGGGGAGCTCTTCACAGAACAGTATCCAGTCTGTGTGCCAGACTTCTGTCTGCTTGCGCCAGCCGCTGACAACGCTCTGCTGTGAACACTCGTCCCCGCATGGATACGAGCGTGACCGTTCAATGCTTGCCTGGAGCAGAAGGTCTGCAAACAACACAAATGACCAGAGCTAAAGCCACATTGCATGATACGGTTTTATTCCAAATAACTACATAAGTCTTAGTCTTTGCAAGTTAAAGTAATTCTCCAGTTAAACTCCAAAATCTAAGCAAAATAGTGCAATGCTTCTTTGGTCTATAAAGCTTCATGCACACAGGATGTTTTTACTGACACTTTTAGTGGTGTCTGGGTTTTTTTTTTCCTGTTTCCAAACGCCCTTCCATGTTAGCCTATGTGTCCACGCACACATAGCATGTTTGCAGCGTTTAGTGTAGGGTTTGCCACCTCATCCCTTTAAAACCGAACACATATTAATTATACAGGTTTTGAGGCTAATTTAATGCAGATAAGGCACCAAGTGAGTTTAATTAGCACATTATTCAGCCACAGAACCTGTGTCATTAATATGTGTTCGGTTTTAAAGAAATGAGGTAGCAACCCTAGTTTAGTAGCAGGAGCGTTTAGAGGAAGGAAAAAAAAATCCACTGCCAGTGTGTTCAGGAGCAGCAGCGTTTTGGCAGAAAAAAACACTTGACGTTTGTGACCGCGTGTTAACACTAGGCACGTTTAGCGCTTAAGCATTAATTTATTTCAATGGCCAGAATAAATTATTATTCTGGTCAATGAAATGAATTAATGCCCCAAGAGATTGACGCTTGTAAATGCACCTAAATGCTTGTAAAAGAGCTAGACACTTTTATAAGCGCCATCCATTTTTTCTGCAAAAACGCTGCTGCCAGGAGGAAAAGCGTCTAGGAGAGTTTTCAAAATGTGATGTGTGCATGAGGCCTTAAGATTAAAAATATTCACATTATATATGGTCCCAGGCTTCTGTTTTTTCATCTCTCCATCCCCTGTGCAAAGCTCTATAATGTGGGAAATTCTCTGGTGTTCCAGACCACCACATCCTGACCTGTTTCTGATTCTGTAGGTTAGGTGTTCCCAGCTATAACCATGGGTAGGTCTCTTCAGGCAACAAATATACGCTTCAAGAACACCCCATTCAAATCATAGAAAGGCTTGGCCATCGAGAGAGAAATGAAACACACCTTTCACCTATTTCTACCAAGCTGTTCAGGAGCAGAGGATGCATAGCAAAGAATAACTGGCAAAGGTTGCTGTTCTGCCCAGGGGCACTCTGAGTCTTGTGTACATTGACTGCAGAAAATTGTAGAAAACCTAAATTAAAGATAAGTGAGTGGATACTCTAAAGCAGGGTGTCAAACTGGCGGCCTTCCAGCTGTTGCCAAACTACAGGTCCCATGAGGCATTGCAAGATTGACAGTTACAAGCATGACTCCCAAAGGCAGAGGCATGATGGGATTTGTAGTTTCGCAAACAGCTGGAGGGCCGCCAGTTTGACACCCCTGATCTAAAGGAAGCCTGTACCATTGCTGACCTGGATGAAGTGATAACAGGATCCAGGACCCACCATCACTGCAGGATAGTAAGGTAGGGGGTGAGTGTGCTGTACTGTGCAAGTATGCTGGTCAATAAATGATAAAATATCACGCTGGAATAAAATAGAGCATACACAGCATATGTTATACATTTTTTAGGCTAGCCATACACTATTAGATTTCTCTCGTTCAGCTGGCAAGCTTAATGAGAGAAAAATTAGTCATTTATCTTTCCACGCTAAACAGTCTGCACTGCCGCCTATTGTATTCAAACAGCTGCAGCACCATGGCTATCTGAATACAGGAACATTGACTACATCTGGTAAGATCGAGTCACTGTTTTGCTGATCACCACCTGACTCCTTCGATTATTAAATCAACTTTCATTGACCTGGGTGGGGCCGATAGGACAACCTGCAGCTCAAATTTTGGGCTATTTAGCTAAAACTATAGTCATGTATGAACAGCTTGTTTGAAGCTTATCTGTTCCTGAAGCATTAGAAGAGCAGACTTCCTTTTAATTATTCAGTGCTGCCAACACAGTAGTTCCCAATACCAAATTAAAAAAGAAAAAAAGCGCCACTTACAAAAAACACCAAAATGTCAGCAGCATATCCCACCCAAAATAAATTTTGGCAACAATAATCATAATTAAAAGGTATGCGCTAATAACAAACTTATACAAAGGTGTATATCATCATCCAAAAAACATTAAATAATTATAGTGTCCAAACATAAATTAGTGTCCAAAAAATATATATATCTTCAGTGACTTGAACCAATTGTGAAAAATCCACCACCAAAGGAGATTAAATGAACTCACCAGAGCTAATGGCTGGTCAGATTATAAACCAGCAAACAGCGCTTGTGCTCTGGGAGCAATGAACCCGATGTCCAAATAGATATGGTGATGTTTCAGATACTTCCAGATAATAATAATCACAGACAAACAACTTTGCAGCCCAAGTTCTTATGATGAACTTCTCCACTCTTTCTCATACCTCCATGAGAGCATGCAGTACACTCATGGACACAAAAGAGAACATAATGGTGCAATACGTTTTTTTCATTTATCTCTTTAATAAAAAAGGTATAAGGAAACTCACAAACAAGGTGTCCAACAGACACCAGCTTCAATCGCAAAAAAGGGTTGAGATACAGTTAACGCTCACCGCGGATCTCTCCCATACAGCACAGAACAGCAAGGCTCTCTAAGGTCCACATCGAGTAGGCCACGCCCAACCGGTTTCGTCACACCGACGTCATCAAGGGGCGGTACCCAGCCATTAGCTCTGGTGAGTTCATTTAATCTCCTTTGGTGGTGGATTTTTCACAATTGGTTCAAGTCACTGAAGATATATATATTTTTTGGACACTAATTTATGTTTGGACACTATAATTATTTATTTAAAACACTAATGTTTTTTGGATGATGATATACACCTTTGTATAAGTTTGTTATTAGCGCATACCTTTTAATTAGGATTACAGTAGTTCCCAAGCCAGCAAAGAGACATTATACTTCTTGTGTATTCTAAGTCCGATTCTGTGTCTCCTAGCAGTTAGATGTACTGATCCTTAACTTAACTGATCCTGGAGGAGCCTTCTGGGATGTGGCTGTATAAAATATCCAAACCAATGGAACCATCCCTCTTTGATTAAAAGGAGAAAGCTCAATAAGCACAGTATTGTACTTACAGCTCCACAGTTTCCCATTTCACACACAAATGATCCAGCGGGAGGGCCAAGGTTTTCAGCCACTGCACTGTCCACCTCTGCTGGGTGGACGGGATCTGCGGATTTCTGCACTTGCTCAGAGTCCTCTTCAAATTTTCTGCCTTCATGTTCTTCTTCATCATCCACATCATCCACGCTTGTCTAGGAAACAAAATGAAATCTCAAATCCCTACTTATTAAGTTACCAGTTAGTAGAGTCTTAAAAGCTGAGCTTGTACATATGTATGTTCCATGCCTGTGGGATTCCCCTGAAAGTTGGAAATCACTGTAGCAGGCACCACTGCTACAGTGATTGCTGCTAGCTTCCTGGTCCTGTACCAAGGAATGCCCTGCTACTTACGCCATTCACATGGCATTTTGCATTTTCTAAATAATTGCAAAGTGTTCTCTGCTTGAACAAGGTGCAGATTAGGATGTCACCACTTTGCTTCTCTACCTTATCCAATCAGAAAACACTTTGCATTTATTGGGAAGATGCAAAAGGTTCTCTGCATGGGAGAGACCTCTTGTGTTCACTAAGCAGCAGGGCAACCACATGGTACGGGACACGGAAGCCAGCAGAGATCATTATAGTGGCAATGCCTGCTACAGTGATTTCCATCTTCCATGGGAATCCCGCAGGCATGGCACATACAAACACTGGTTAAAGCTGGACCAATGTAACTAAGAGAAAATTGTCATACCTAAATTTCAGCTTTGGGATAACCAAAGAAGTTCTAGGTGGTACAGTTTTAGGGCATTATAAAAGCTAAGGTATTACTGGCCATTTTTGAATTAGATTAGGGAAGACCACAAACATATAAGGGGTGAGTATATTTTTAGAGAAAGTTAATTTCCCTACCTGCCTATCCTAAACTAAATTATCCATCCCCACCCGCATACCTACCTGCGTCTCACAGCTTTTAATAAAAAGGTTGGTTGTCTCTGGTCCTGCTCATATAATGTTTTTATGAAGCTAATTTTACTCAGGCTTAGCCATATTTAGCTGTCCAAAGGCCTAAGCAGGTCAGCCGTACAGGCACAATCCATCTACCTGGACAATGTTTCCAAACCCACCATATTAATCTTTCCATACTGAGAATGTTCAGCAGGCCCATGTCTACTACTTCAATGGACATGGGATTGTTGTTTGGATGGAATGGAAAGCCATCTCATGTCTAAAGCCAGCTTTAGGACACAAAGTCTATACAATCATGAGCAAATCTGAAATTTTTTTTGAGATGTAATAATTTTCTCTTTCACATGATCTTCAGTTATATAAACAAAGTGAATGGAACTACAGTAGACATGGAAAATTAAGGCATACAATAACATTTAGGCTGTAGAACTTACGGTGTCATCTTCATTAAGTTCAACAATGCGCGTCCTATGGCGACGGCCCATGTGCAGTATTTTCTTCCATGTATAGTAATATTCCACACACTGTGACACCGTTTTTGTCTTTATCTAGAACAAAAGGACAGCATTAGTAGAACTAAAGGCAATGACTGTTTAATGACTGGCATAGTACAACTGGATTGGGGTAAGGCCAATGTGGTGCCAATATTTAAAAAGGGGTCAAAATCTTTACCAAATAATTATAGACCTGTTAATTTAACCTCTATAGTTGGGAAGATACTGGAGAGTTTAGTAAAAGACCACATAGATGAGTTCTTGCTGGAAAACAATATTTTAAGGAACAGACAGCATGGATTCATGAAAGAACAGAAGTTGTCAAACACATCTGATTTTGTTTTATGAGGTGAGCAAAACCTTGGACAGAGGAGTGGTAGTGGACGTGGTATACTTGGATTTTGGCAAAAGTGTTTGACACAGTTCCCCACACACGGCTAATGTGTAAGGTAAAATCTACAGGCTTGGAAAAATCTGTATGTAAATGGATAGAAAACTGGCTAAAAGATCGTATTCAGAGAGTAGTGGTTAATGATTCATACTCTGAATGGTCTAGGGTTGTCAGTGGTGTACCCCAAGGTTCAGTGTTGGGACTCTTACTTTTTGTATTTTATTGATTTTAAGGTTTTAAAAACAAAAAAAAAACTGAAGCAAAAGGCACACCCATGCAGGGCCTATCAATGGCACACCAGTGCAACGAACCGAAGGCAGAACACCAGTACCAATCACACACGGGAACACCAGTACCAATCAAAGTCCTAGACCCAGACTAGCCAGGGGGAGCATGGGAAAAGCATATGTCAACCACGGCTCCCAGATTTTAAAAAAATTGCAATGGGAGTCATTAAGGATACTCGACATCTGTTCATTAAGCAATAAAGTGGACAGATTGACCCCCTGAAGAGGGACAGATGTACTCTTCCAGGCCTGAGCAATCGTTTTAGGTGCCGACAAAAACAAATAAGAGGCCAACTTCTGCTGGTGAGCCAATAGGCTCGGTATGAAGAACAGCATATCGGGCTTCCCGATGTATGGAGAGATGAAACAATGTGTAGAGAAGGCCAAATACACGAGAGCAAAACCGAATCAGTCTCGGGCATGACCACCATATATGTAGCACATCTCCACGATGGCCACAACCCCGAAAACAGCGATCACTATGGGTAGAGTTTGCCTGGGCTATACAAGCCGGCACCCAATACCAGCGGGACAGTACTTTATATGCCGCCTCCAGTGTGTTTGTGTTGAATGAACATTTAGCTATAAACGACCAGGCCTTATTCCAGTCCTCCGGATCCACGGTCACCCCCAAATTGCACTCCCATTGAACAACATACAATAGGGAAGTGTGCGTTGAGCGTCTGTTCAAAGACGCGTAGAATAGGGAAACAAGACCCGGGGTGCCAGGACGCTGCTGGCAAAGCTGTTCAAAGGAAGATTTCTGATATGGAAAGGCAGAGGTGCCACAAAACAAGGTTAGCCAATGCCAAATTGAAGAAAACGAAACGAAAAAAAAAATTCCGCCTGGGGAACATCCCGCGATTCCCCAAGAGAATTCCAGGTGGGGAAAGACCGAGAAATCAAAAAGTGGCGCACCTGCGAAAAGACATTGGCCACCCACCAAGAGAACGCCCTAGGTTGATCTAAACGTGGCAGAAAAGAGGGTTATTAGTAATTGGGAGCAGAGGTAGAAGGATGACATCAAGCCACTAGAGGAGCGGACCGAGTCCCATAAGCAGGACCCTTACTTTTTAATATATTTACAAATGATATAGGGTCTGGGATTAAAAATACTATTTCAGTCTTTGCAGATGACACCAAGCTGTGCAGTGGGCCCTCACAGGATGTCTCCGACTTACAAGCCAACCTCAATGCTCTGTGTAATTGGGCAACTATGTGGCAAATAAGGTTTAATGTTGATAAATGTAAGGTTCTGCACTTGGGGCCTAGGAATATGCATGTATCATACATACTAGGGGGGTACAACTGGGGGAATCAATGGTGGAGAAGGATGTGGGGGGTTCCGGTAGATCACAAGCTTAATAATGGCATGCAAAGCCAAGCTGCGGTTTCTAAAGCGAGCAAAATCCTCTCTTGTATTAAAAGAGGTATAGACTCCAGAGAGAGAGATATCATTTCCCCCGGTACAAATCATTAGTAATACCTCATCTGGAATATGCAGTTCAGTTTTGGGCATCAATTCACAAAAAGAACATTGGGGAACTGGAGAAAGTACAGAGAAGGGCAACCAAACTGATAAGAGGCATGGAGGAGATCAGCTATGAGTAAAGATTAGAAGAACTGAATTTATTCTCTCTTGAGAAGAGGAGATTAAGGGGGGATATGATGTCCATGTATAATACATAAGGGGGGATATGATCAACATGTATAAATACATCAGTGGTTCATATAGTGAACTCGGTGTAGAGTTATTCACCCTGAGGTCATCACAGAGGACAAGGGGGGCACTCTTTACGTCTGGAGGAAAAGAAATTTAATCTCCAAACACAGAAAGGTTTCTTCTTCACAGTAAGAGCTGTGAAATTGTGGAATAGATTCCCTCAAGAGTTGGTTCTGGCCAGCTCAGTGGATTGCTTTAAAAAAAGTCCTGGATTCTTTCTTAGATGCACAGAATACAATTGGATACTAACATTTATAAGTAAAGTTGATCCAGAGAATATCCGATTGCCTCTCGGGGGATCAGGAAGAAACTTTTTCCCCTGCAGGAGCAAATTGGTTCATGTTTTGCTGTGCTTTTTGCCTTGGATCAACTGTGGGTGTAGGATTCAAACTTTTTTTTTTTTTTTTAATGGTTGAACTGGTAGGACTTTTGTCTTCTATAAGCCAGACAAACTATGTAACTATGTGTGGCCTTCTAATTTTTTCTTTTTAGATATACATGTAAACAGGATCCACTTGATGTAAAAACACATTTTTCAGTATGTCATGTTTTGAAAACTTTGTTCTATGTATAATTTATAATTACCACCTCAGCCAATCAGAGAAAGTCTTGTGTTCATTCATACAAATACAAGATTTTCTATGAATGGCCGAGCAGTGCTCAGCCTGACACAGTTTTGTTCCAGGAACGGGGCAGGAAGGCTCTTTCCCACTGCCGGAACACTGCACTGTGCACTGTTTGTAGCTGATGCTAAATACAGTTTGTACAGCTCTCCCAGCAGACACTTCTGTTAGTAAAGGAAATAGTTGTCCCAAATTAAATGCAGTAATATAGAGGTTGGATAAAAAATTTAGTGCCACATATCACTCCTGGTAGTAAAATAATACAATTTGTATAGAGACACATCAGACCCATAAGAGAGACAGCTGATGCTGCTTGAGGGAAAAAGGGATTAGCTCTTCAAAGAGGGACAGTCCCTGCTAATGGGGGACAGTTGGGAGCTATGTCTGCATGGGGGCACAGTCATGCTGGAACAGAAGAGAGTCTTCCCCAAACTGTTACCACATGGTTGGAAGCACATGATCATTTAAAATGTCTTTGTGTAATGTAGCATTTACTGTACCCTTCACTAGAAACACATGAACGCGATAGTCTTGAGCAGTAGCCACATTCTTTTGGTCAGTTGACCATTGCATTATGGTTCACAACATCTGTTCATGTACAGAATAAAACAGAACACTTCCTTCTTCCCTATAGAGGTCTTTTAGTAAAGTGGGGATAAATAGAGATATGCCACACTAAAGGTACTGCATTGCTACTTTACAGTTCAATTCAATGGAAAAATCCATTATTGTGATGCTGTGATCATCCTCAGTTGGGTTTAGGTTTCTGAGATACTTTGTTACGTTTTCTATCCGCAGAGATAAAGTGTGTGAATAGAACTCCTTGTACACTAAGAAGTACACTTGCCAGTAGTCACGGCTCTAATGTCCATTAGGAAGAACTTTACTTAAAGTGTTACTAAACCCAGGACCCTGCATTCACTATATCTGGTCTTCCACAGTACACAGAACATGGAAATGCAATTATTTTAGTAAATATAAACTGCTTTTCTCATCAGCAGTATATAGCAGTCTTATGACTTCTATCAGTGTCCAGCTGAGCACTGGTTAAAGCTTGTAGGAGGAGTTTTCATTCTCCTCTCACTGCCGTATGAGATTGCATAAACCCTGACCTTTTCTCTGGACAGCGCTGATTGGTCCTGTGCTGATCACATGCACCCTCCCAAAAAAAAGAAAAACTCTCTAGCCGTACACACCAAACTGAGCATGTGCAGAGTGTCCCCAAGGCTGTGTTCTGTCTGGAGATGAAATGGGGACAGTAGAAGAAGGGGAGGATTAGAGAAGACAGGATCAAACATCCTTTTTTACACAATGCAGAGGATTAACCCCTTAAGTTCCGCAGTGAGTATAACAAGCATGCTTTACTGCATATACAGACTGATTTTACTGTTGTGGGTTTAGTAACAATGTAACTATTTAAAGTCCCAGTAAACCTGGTTTTAGGCTTTAGGCCAACCGGGTAAACCATTTGTAAATCAGTTTATTCTAGAATGGCCTAACCAAATTATATAAAGTCATAGTAAACCTGGAGTTGGGCTATTAAGGAATCAGCCTAGTATAGCTGTAGGGGAGCTGCCATTGCTGTGCAGTCTAAAATATGATATACTTAGATCTCTGAGCTCCTGACACTCAAGCTTACATAAGCCCAGCCTTGATTGGTCTCCTTTACACCTTACAAGTAAGTCTAAGAAAGAGAAGATGTGAAATGAGTACCGTTTGACAAGAAAAAGGAAGATGACAGTTCAGCCAAAACAGGATTAGGCTCCCACCTGTTTAGTACACATAAAAAAAGTATGAAACTTCGGCAAGTGTGCAGGTTGGGAGTTCTGGCTTAATTTAGTGAATCTGCAATTCCCCATGAATTCGAGGGCCTTGAGCCATGAAAGGCAAATTGTTTTGGGTCCCATGTCCCTAATCTACATTAAGGATAAGCTACAGTCTGGGCCAAACCTACGGAAAGCCATCACATGATAGCAGGTTGTTGGCCCAATCAGCTGCGGCTTGGGAAATCTCTGCCCTACAGACACATGTTACAAAGGGGCGTGAATGCTGGCTGATGTCATTATCCATTTGTGGTCACATGGCCCTATTTGGACAATGTCATTATCCAATTGTGGTCACATGGCCCTATTTGGACAATGTCATTATCCATTTGTGGTCACATGGCCCTATTTGGACAATGTCATTATCCATTTGTAGTCACATGGCCCTATTTGGACAATGTCATTATCCAATTGTGGTCACATGGCCCTATTTGGACAATGTCATTATCCATTTGTGGTCACATGGCCCTATTTGGACAATGTCATTATCCAATTGTGGTCACATGGCCGTATTTGGACAATGTCATTATCCAATTGTGGTCACATGGCCCTATTTGGACAATGTCATTATCCATTTGTGGTCACATGGCCCTATTTGGACAATGTCATTATCCATTTGTGGTCACATGGCCCTATTTGGACAATGTCATTATCCATTTGTGGTCACATGGCCCTATTTGGACAATGTCATTGACCAAGTGTGGCCATGTGGAAATATTAGGTTAATGATGTCTCACCAGCATCTCTGTCTCTTTGTTATGCCCTTTTGCGGGGTGGAGAATTCCCCGCCGCAACTAATTGGGCTGGTAGCCTGCTATCATTTGAAAAGCTTACCTCGGGTTCAGGCCGAACCTTAGCTCATCATTAATCTTCATATAAGACTAGAAACCTCTGTATATAGCAAGTTATACAGAAAAGCAAAACAACATACCTACAACTTTGTTACTGACCCTTAAAAAACTTTCTATAACAAAAGCAAAGCCAATCAGAGATAATTATCTAGCAATTTGGTTGCAGTAAACTAAAATCTAATTGGCTAATATTGGTTATAAATACATTTGATCACTACTCAATCAGCCCATCAATACATAGCTAAGAAGCTATACTATAGACCAGTAGTCTCCAAACTTCGGCCCTTTGCTTGCTTTTATCCAGCCCTTGGGTCACTATTTCATCCACTTATACCAGCAATGGAGCATAATTTCCTCCACTGACACCAACGAAGGGGCACAATTCCTTCCAATGACACCAATGATGGGGCACAATTCCTCACAATGACACCAATGATTGGGCACAATTCCTCCCAATATCACCAACAATGGGGCACAATTCCTCCCACTGACACCAATGATGGGGAACAATTCTACACACTGACACCAAATACGGGGCATTGTTTTTCCCACTGATGTCAGGGCCTTTTCTACTCCCAATGGCCACCGTCCGGCCCCCCTAAAGGTTGAAGGACAGTAAACTGGCCCTTTGTTTAGAAAGCCTGAAGACCCCTGCTATTCTCAGACAGGGTTCCTCAATAGGTTGCTAGGGGTTCCTTGAGTTGTTGCTAATTGATGGTGCCTGGATAGTCATGGGTCCAATGCCACTTGGCAGAACCAACAGCCTGACACCAACAACCTTTTTAACTGTCTGGAATTTGACATCAGTGGCATTTTGACCATCACTAAAGGTCAAGGCATTTTTTCCATTGACTCCCCAATTAATTTTAGCATGACCTAATAATTATTTCAAGGGTTCCTTTGGAGTAAAAAGGTTGAAAAAGGCTGCTATAGACATGAATAAAATTGTGTCATTTTAACCACTTCCTAACCTGGCCATAGTAAAAATATGCCCTGAGTTGAAAGTGGAATACTGAGATTATGGCTGGAGCAATGTGCATTAACCCCGTATTGTTTTTTTTTTTCAGCCAGAGATTTTCTTTCAGCTAAAAGTGGTCTGAGTGGCACATTTGCCTCTAAACCACTTTAAGAAGCAGTGGGAGGGGTTCCCCCACCCCCCTGTCTCTTGGGTTTACCTGGATGATCGGTGAGCCTGAGAACCGATTTGAGGATCGTGGCAGTTGAGCTTAGAGATGAGTAAAGGAAAGATGGCCTCCACTCATCTCTTTGGCCTAGGAGGACCGGAGCAATGTTATTACATCACTTCCAGTTCCAGCCTAATGTAAACAAGGCCATTTTTTTCATCTAATGCTTTACATTGTAGAGGAGAGATGTGGGGTCTTATTGACTCCAGATCTCTCCATAGAGGACCTGTCACTACTTATTTCTATCACATAGGGTGTTTACATCCCTTGTGATAGGAATAAAATTGATTTAGTTTTTTGTTTACAGAGACAGTGTAAAAATAAAAAAGTTATAAAATAAATGTAAAAAAAAAAAAAATTTAAAGCGCCCCGTCCCCCTGTAGTGAATGCATACGCAGGTCACACTCACATATGTAAATGGTGTTCAAACCACACATGTGAGGTAACATCAAACTGACAGCAATACTTCTAACACTAGATCTCCTCTGTAACTTCAAACTGGTAACCAGCAGAAATTTTAAAAGCAACACCTATGGAGATTTTTAGGTACTGTAGTTTGGCACTATTCCAAGAGCATGAGCAATTTTAAAGCATATGTTGGGTATCTATTTACTCAGCATAACATCATTTTTTATGTTTTACAAAGAAATTGAGTTATAAATTGTGTTTTTAATTGATTAAAATTTATTTTTTTTTAAAAAAATTGTGTTTGAAAAATTGCTGCGCAAATACCATGTGACAGAATAAATTGCAGCAACCCCTATTTTATTCTCTAGGGCCTCTGCTACAAAAAATATAATGTTTAAGGGTTCTAAGTAAATTTCTAGCAAAAAAACATTGATTTTTACTTTTATATGAGAAGTGTCAGAATTGCCCCGGTAAGGAAGTATTAGCTGACAGTGTGTAAAAATGTGAACTCATTCTGTTCTGTTACGTCAATATCATCTGAGCTCCCAGTAACACAAGCTCGCCTTATCTCTGGATTCTTGTAGGACGAACCGAGCTGTGATGGCCATCAGTGAACCAATTTTCGCTTTATCCTGCAGATCGCAGACACAGAGGAATCACCATGACATGGTCACCGACCTGCACTTGTCACACTCTGTGCCTGACACAGCTGCCCACGCACAGTACATGGACCTATATAATATCTGCTCTGCTTTTCTTACCCAGAAATCCTTTATGTATGGAATATCATCTTACCATCTTTTGAACATGGAAGAAATCTTTATTGCAGGTAATTAAAGCTTTGTTAAAACTCTTCTTCTCGTTGTTGTTCCAGTAGTCTGAACCTGCAAAATATAGACGATATTACACCTTTTTTAGCAGTATTGCAGGTTAGACACTAACTAAGCATTGCTTGATCATGTTATCATTAAAAATGTGAATAAACATTTCCTAAGGGCTTGGTTCTAGCTCACTAACAATGCAGGTCTGTGGGGACTGCATGTGAAGAGCAGACGTAGCGGGTCACATGGGCTGGTGACGTCCCTATCAGCTTCATCACTACAACCTTCCAGGATGCCTTGTACATAGACACCACGCAGCCGGACTGCTCAGGAGTGCTGACAGCAAGGTTCTGAAAAGGAGACGCTGTCAATCAAGCACCTCTGACTGGCCCAGAAGGCATGGCTTCCTGTGATGTGGAACAGTGACTGAGTGCTGGAAAGCAGGGCAGGGTGCATAGTGCACAGCATGACAGATACTGGTAAGTCACTGCCTGTTTCCAGATTTTGCACGCCCCCACCTGCCTACTCCCCTGTGATTTGACACAGCGGGAGTTCGTCAGCAGATCCTGGCCAACGATTCACTGGCTGATAAACAACATAGGGCTCTGAACAGAGGGAATGATCGCTTTATTTCTTTTCCCTGCAAAGCAGGGAAAAGAAACAAATTGATGTGTAGTGAAAAGCAGCACACAGTACGTACATTAACACTTGTTAGGCACACAGTTAACCACTTGATTGCCCTTAGATGTTAACCCCTTCTCAGCCAGTGTCATTAGTACAGTGACAGTAAATGAGGGTATCCTCCTGCGCTTTATATGGATGTGATCCCTATAATTAAAGCTGCTGTCACTCAACTTAAACCAATAAGTGTTAACTACTATATATACATACATTAGTGAAGCGCTAAAATACTTTATAAATTCATACCAATTGTGCCACTTGTGACAACTTAATAGTGCTCAGTGATAAATGTCCCATATACACAAGTATATCGTTATAGTGAAATTAATACACATAAATGAAGTGAATATATAAACAGTGATATAAGATATATCGTGTGTATAAACAAATAGTATTCAATATAAATATTTATTCAATAGGTTACCATATAAATGTGAATCACAAATACATAAAAAAAACAATCCATGAATAATCAAAAATATAAAAAGTCCATGCAAGTGAAACCGTGTAAAAAGTGATCTTCACTCTGGTGCATAAATCCTCAAATGGCAGCAGTGCCTGCTCACCTCCACACAATGACCCACACAGGGGCCCAAAATGCTAATACTCTCCTCTATACCCGATCCTCATGAATATGCTCCTCATCCATGGACCATAAGGTAAATGGAGACTCCTCCCCCAGCGTATCTATTTCGCTCCACCTCCACTCAATGGCAGATATGTAAGACACAAAAAGATCCTTCCATAGTGCAATGATGTTTTATTTAGAAGTGAAAAACAGAAAAAGATTGCACTCACATGTATTCCCCTAGTACATAAGCCTGCCACCACAACCCATGGGTGTACTGCATGGAACCTGGGGAAACCAATATGGCCGCTGCGTCCAGACATGCGTTACCTCGTGACCAGAAATGGCGTACCGACGCGTTGCGTCACGTGCGTCGTGACTTCATCAGGCTTAATTAGCATTTTGGCCCTGTGTGGGGAGGTGAGCAGGCACTGCTGCCATTTGAGGATTTATGCACCAGAGTGAAGATCACTTTTTACACGGTTTCACTTGCATGGGCTTTTTATATTTTTGATTATTCACAGATTGTTTTTTTATGTATTTGTGATTCACATTTATCTGGTAACCTATTGAATAATTATTTAGATTGAATACTATTTGTTATATACACACGATATATCTTATATCACTGTTTATATATTCACTTCATTTATGTGTATTAATTTCACTATAATGATATACTTGTGTATATGGGACATTTATCACTGAGCACTATTAAGTTGGCACAAGTGGCACAATTGGTATGAATTTATAAAGTATATTTTAGCGCTTCACTAATTTATGTATATATAGTACAGTGACAGTGTTTTTTATCAGCACTGATCACTGTATTAGTGTCACTGATGATGTTAGTGACAGTCCCAGTTCCCACCCAGTGTTGGATTGCCCACCGCACTATCACAGTCCCACTATAAGTCGCTGATCACCGCCATTACTAGTATGAGAAAAAAATTCCTGTATATATCCCATAGTTTTTAGATGCTATAACTGTCACGCAAACCAATTAATATACACCTATTGGGATTTTTTTTACCAAAGGCATATAGCAGAACACATTTTGGCCTAAATTTATGAAGAAATTAGATTTTTTTAATTTTTTATTGGATATGTTTTTTTATAGCAGAAAGTAAAACATATTTTTGTTTTTTTTCTTTTAAATGTTCAAAATGAAATTTTTTCATTTATGTATTAAAAAATAAAAAAACCCAGTGATGATCAAAGCTCTATTTGTGTTAAAAAAATGATATAAATTTTGCTTGAGTACAACATTGCATGACCACACAATTGCCAGTTAAAGTAGCGCAGTGCCAAATAGCAATATCTGGCCTGGTCATGAAGGGGGTAAAATTTTCCGGAGCTCAAGTGATTAACCCTTTGAGGACCGTAAGATTTTGGAACGCCAAAAGAATACATTTTTTTGTTTTTTAAAGTTCGTACACTTCAGTTGCTGTAACTAAGCCATTTCATGAAATAAACTGGAACAGGGTAAGTGAGCGCAAATCTCAAGACAGCAGCTAGCACACAAGGCAATCCTCAACACCAAAAAAACAAAATATACTAATGGTATGCAGCGCTAAATAGTATATCAACCATCAATGTAAAGATGGATAAGACAGTAAATCCTCAATCACAATATGAATGGTTCCATATAAATGAAGATATAAATGTACAAATGTAATGAATAGATTGAAATCCAATTGGGCTTGTGGACGGATCTGGTAAATAATTGCGCTTACCACAAAGACATACAAACAGGGCGTTGTATGTATACAGATGGACATCCGGGCCTGATCAGCAAATAGGACAGCATCCGGTCATCATATGAGACTTCCAGGAATGGTGGAAACCCCCCAAGATCATCTCCGGTTTTTTGCCAGCAGGTCCAACGCAGTCCTCTCCAAATAATGTTTCTCTGGATCGCTCCACCTTGATAGGGCTCGTAAATAACGAGCCAGAGCAAAAAAATTGCAATGATAGTGAAGTATGTCTTTATTGGGTAAACAGCAGAAACAAATGTAAGGAACTCACAAAATTGGAGAACACAGCCCAGGTCAAACGAAGAGGTTCCCTGGTGATTAGTGGCTCCCTGGTAATCAAATGGCGTTTGTTGGGTGGATCCCCTAACATGTTTTGAGCCACCCTTTGACAACGAGCGTGGCTGTGTTCTCCAATTTTTGTGAGTTCCTTACATTTGTTTCTGCTGTTTACCCAATAAAGACATACTTCACTATCATTGCCATTTTTTGCTCTGGCTCGTTATTTACGAGCCCTATCAAGGTGGAGCGATCCAGAGAAACATTATTTGGAGAGGACTGCGTTGGACCTGCTGGCAAAACCGGAGGTGATCTTGGGGGGTTTCCACCATTCCTGGAAGTCTCATATGGTGACCGGATGCTGTCCTATTTGCTGATCAGGCCCGGATGTCCATCTGTATACATACAACGCCCTGTTTGTATGTCTTTGTGGTAAGCGCAATTATTTACCAGATCCGTCCACAAGCCCAATTGGATTTCAATCTATTCATTACATTTGTACATTTATATCTTCATTTATATGGAACCATTCATATTGTGATTGAGGATTTACTGTCTTATCCATCTTTACATTGATGGTTGATATACTATTTAGCGCTGCATACCATTTGTATATTTCATGAAATAATTGGCAAAAAGCTAGATCCATTTGTTGTTTGTTGATAAGAACTAAAATTTTGACTCAAACCAAAAAAAAAAAAAGAGTTTTAAGTTCTTAATCAGATGATACACGCAATTAAAAACATGGGACAAATACGTCCCTTGGTCCTCAAATGGTTAAACAGTTTTCTTCCAATGATACAGTCACCATTTAAATATTTTATGTTGTGATTGCATCTCATCTTAAGCATCTCTTCTCCAGGGAGAGTAAGTTTAATGTTTGTAGTCATTTCTCATAAGTGACATTCTAGCCCCATTTTTTTTTTTTACTTTTTTTGACATTTTTTTGAAATTTTTGACTTGTTAAGCTTTGCTTCATCAGCAAACATTGAGACTGAACAATTTATTCCAACCTCTATGTTGTTTATGAACCTGTTAAACAGAATCAGTCCCAGGACAGAGCCCTGGATCACCCTGCTCACAACTCTAGACCATTCATACCATTTATCATTTACCACTTTTAGGCCGACTACCTTGTGCTGTTGCTTCTTAAGTCTCATATATACTGCTGCCACTAAAAGTGAGTTTATGAGCTTTTGGATTACAACTCAATAAATACAACTCAATAAAAGCCTATGTGTCCATGTACACATAGGCTTTTACTAGAAATTAGGAGCAGCAGAGTTTAGGGGCAATTAAACGTTCCTCTTCTGAATGCAGAATAATCTTGTTCAGGAGAGGAACGTTTTGCCTCAAAACGCTAAAAGCGGCAAAAATACTAACCGCGTTAAGCGCTTGGACGTTTATCCATGTCAATGGAAAATACTCTGGCCAATTAAATGAATAAACGTCCAAGCACCTAACATGGCAGCAGCATTTTGGCAGAAGAAATGCCTGATGCTTGTAAAAGCTTGCAATGCGTTTAGCCACGCAAGCATTTGGGAGCTAATTCATTTCACAGGCTAGAATAAATAATTTCTTATGGCCATTGAAATGAATTAATGCTCAAGTGTTATATGCACCTAGTGTTAAAGTGCATTTAGGCACATTTACACGTTTAGAAGCGTCAAGCTTTTTTCTGCCAAAACTTTGCTGCTACTGGACGCACTGGCAATGTTTTTTTTTTTTTTCTGCCTCTAAACTCCTTTAAAATTTCATGTGTGCATGGACACATAGGCTAA